ATGTTGTGTTAAAAAATGTATCTGTATGAATGTTGGGTCACACTCACAGACGACTTAATTATCTATTTCTATTGAAATACACCTAAAGGTTTAGGAAATGAAGAAAACAAGAGTTTAGCTACATTTCTGTTTCCCTAATTTTTTTTTAACCATTAGAATCTGTGTATAAAATCTCACACTACTTAATAACTATAATATATTTTAAGTGCATTTAAGATTGTTTTTTACCATTTCTTTCAGTTGGATGATTACAAATTGGATTTAAACCACCCTAAGAAATAAATTTCACATACACTAGCGATTTGAAAAACCAAAACCAAAAATAAAATCTAATAAATAATAATCATTAGACAATTTAAACGGGAAAAATAAACTACAATACCTACTTAAAACTATAAAAAATTTCTACCAAAGTTAACATTAAATCATTTCATAATATAAACAATAATAATAAAAATAATTTCTCACCGACCCCCTTATCCATTTACTTCCCACCTACCTACACCATTCACCTACTCTCACTTACTTCCACCAACCTCCCAAATAATTCATTCATCTTCCCATTCCAATATATCATTTTCTCCACACCATAATTTATCATTTCCCGTTTACACACATCAATTTCCCCACATCTTCCTTCATCTTCTACTTTAGAATTCAACAAAAAAAAAAAAAAAAAAAATCAACAAGCCCACCTGCATATCAACTCTCACGGCCACTTAATAAAAGGTACAACTACACTATCTTGTAGACAAAATACTATTTGCTCTTTTTGCATGTTAAATTTAAGGTTTGTTTTATGTTATTTACATCTAATATTCAACAGTTAAGTATTACAATTCAGCTTCCTTATATTAAAGATTCATGAAAATTGATTGCATTACTCAGGTATTTATTAACTAATTTGGATCTTAAATATATTACATATATATAGATTAATATATATTCTTTCATGATATGTAAAAATAAAAACAAAAATACATATTTACTTTATATTTTGACATTATATGGAACTACAATATTTACCCAACAGATTTACACTCAACCACTTCAAATAATTTTGCCTTCTAAACGTGCTTATTAATTAAACTGGTTCTTCACATCGTTCTTACAGATGTCTTTGGAATACATACTTCCTTCAAATCAATGATATTCTGCTATCATAACCCAATATCCAAACTATCAGTACCTTCAGGATTTTGTGAACTTCATCAGTGCAGATCAACAATCAAATTTGATGTGTAGTAACTTCCATGCATTTATATATAGTATTATTAATAAAATTGAAAACGAACAGCAATTCAATAGCAAATTAGTTCATGAATTCGTGCTGCAACTTGTCAACTGTGGGAAAAACAACGAACTCTTGGTGAAATTAGATGACCGTTTAGCTCGGTTCAGCATGCAAGAATTTTGTCTGATAACAGGATTACCTTACCACGATGTATTTATGGACGTCGACTTCAATAATGATAGACTCAAAAATCAGTACTTCAATGGTGCCAAAAAAATTAAAATGTCAATGCTCTCTGAAGCATTCCATCATTGTGCAAATGAGGAGGATAAATTGAAACTAGGCCTGGTAATGTTCGTAGAATGTATCTTGAAATCTACTGGAAGACATATCGATCACAGAAGTTTAAGTATGGTTGAGAACATTCATGCCTTCCTTGCATATCCATGGCGATGGGGTCGTAAATCATATGTTATTTTACTAAACTCATTACAAGCATCTCATTTGGAAAGAGTACAGAGGATGCAGCAAAACGAGCAAACCAAATCTAAATATGCATTACATGGATATCTACTTGCATTTCAGGTATTTTTCTTTTACTCTCTAATTTTTACTCATCTATATTTAAATTAATTTATTCTTTATTCTATTACATGACTTATTACGTAACCGTATAAATTGAACTTATTTTTTTCTTCCCTAAAGAAAATTCAAAACCCATTCCAATATTTTATTATAAATTACAGACACAAGTACTCGCATTATTACACCCTGCAGAACAAGAATTACAAACAATATGGTACACAGCTCTCTTACTGCCACAAGACAACCAACATGACATACTCGACGCCATTATTAATGGAGAATTGGAACAACAAATCCCACATACTGATAACATATGAACTACTCGTGATACAGCTACCACAAGTTCTACTCCTATTAGCTCCAATTACATGACTAGAGAAGATATGGAGCAAATGATGAATACATATAGGCAACATATTGTATCAGATGTATATGGAATTTGTGGGGATTTGAAGACATCCATTGTCTCAGATGTATCTCGTTTGTGCAACAACCTGAAAACAACCATGATTGAACAATCAAATGGACAAGAACGCCAGTACGAAACAAATCTCCAGTGCCAAGAACAATTATTTGAACAACATCAAAACTGGCAACACGACCAGTATGAAGACTTACAATCTAGAACACATCCTGCAGATAATTCAACTTCCCAAACTCTTCTTGACAATCAAAATCAATTCTTCCACCAACAACAACAATGGCAAGAAAACCACTACCAAGGCCTACATTCTACCATGCAGGATTATGTAGATAATAGTATGAGTTCACTAGAACTTCACGTTGCCGAACAACATGACAGTGTACTCAGCAAATTATCAAATTGGAAATCAAATATGGGAGCCATCATAAGTACCCTTCATCAAGATGCTTCTATCCATATAAGTTCTACTGAGCAACATATATCAATATCTCAACCAATTGAAGACATTACACAACAGACAAAAAAACAAAAAAAGCAAGGGAAAAAGGTACAATCTTCAAATCCATGAACAAATAATCCTTTGGAAGATTATTCTATGGACATATATTTAACACTTAAAAATTGGATAACAAAAAATTCACCAAGGTAACCACACTAATTCTACTTTGTTCTTGTACACATTGTTGACTTCATTTCATTCATGTCGAATGTAATAATATTTTGTTCTGCAGTGCATCTTGGAATGATGAATCTACCAATATGAACAAAAAGAACATAATAGAAGCTATTATGGACACAACCTAACCAATAACCATTACAGTTAGTAAAATTCATTTACCATTATACATTTAATTCCATATGCAATATATGTAATTTACATCTATTTATTTTATTAGGCTCTTGATTTGGAGTTACAATTATTGAGTCGATGCATGAACAACAATCCTACAGCTATTTTAAACGAATATGCAATCCTAGATTTCAACTATGAAAATGATGTACTCGTCATATGATGGTACAAATAGAGATTCGAGACACGGGCTTCATAAAAGATTAAGCAAATTTACCCGACTACGTGAATGGCAATTTGTCAATAAGTGGTCGTCCATGGATACAATGCAAGTGCCTATTAATTCCATGTTCGTACCCAGGGAACACATGGTATCTATTTTATGTGAACATTCCTGAATGGAAAGTTTACGTATACGACTGTTGTCAGAAATTTCATACACCATAGCAAATAAAGGCACATTCAAATGCAGTGACCGATATAACTACAATGTTATTAATGCATCCAAATTTCACAGCCTATAGATGCTACCTAAAGAAAAATACACAGAGTAATGGGGCTACACTTCATACCTTATCAACCTTACATAAATAATGAGTAAGTATTTAAATTATTCGCTGTGTACTATAGCATTTCATTCCCTATTTAACATAATTGTACATTCAACATACTAATCAAATTTAATCTTAAACTATTTTTTCCGTAGGCCCAACTGTGGAGTGTTTTTACTCGAATACATAAAATGCTTCGTTCTAGGTTATCCAATAGAATCAGTTTCTGCAACCGTCATGGATTTATACAGACAAAAGATTGTCGTAGATATTTGCTTCAACGAATACTTCCTGCATCCTCATTGATTCTTATACTATTAGATAATAATACTGGCACAAATAATTTCTTTCACATTGAATACATAAATCACAACACAGCTAAAGAGAATCCTAGACTTACGAACACAAAGGTATGCACAAACCGATTATGCACACATCAAAACATCACATTTTCAATCATATTTACAATTATGAAATTTTATCATGCATCTTTTGATCGATGGATAGAACATCATGGGTGTGCTAAAGGAAAATAAAGTATTGTTGTGGAACGATGTTCATTTCAAACAAATCAACTCTCTTCTTCGGCGTACAAAATTTCCCCCCAAATGTTTAGGTATTTTCTTGCGTTTTTCTATTCTCGAAGTATTTTAGGCTTCATTTTTCGTGCTTTCCCATGGAAATTTATAGCCATTAATCATGTATTTAAAATCTTGATCTAATTTAATTGATTTGTTTTTTGCTCTGGGTCTATTCTATACATGTAAATTATAGATTATACTTTTTATGGATTATCTGATTTTACTCTTTTTGTGAAAAAAAAAAATGGATTTAGCTTTATGGTGCGTATAACAATTGACTGGGATCCTCATTTTCATATAATAGACGTTAACATTTGGTATTGTTTACTATTTTCGTCCCTTTCCTTCTAAAATATTTTATGCAAAATTTCTCTTATTCTTTTAAGTAATCGGTCTAATGAAAGAATGGTTTACTAAGGCATTTCACATTTGCTTATCTGTTGTCTCACAAAGATAATTGAACATTTGGAGGTGATAAGCTATCACTGTACAATTGATTACCAGCATTTAGTTGCACTATAATTCTCACAGTTGTAAAGTAAATTTCCTTTGCTACTTATGCTACTTTCAATTAATTTCATTGGAGGTTCAAGGAGGAAAACAATACTAAGGTCACTGTACAATTGATTACCAGCAGATTAAAAAGATTTTTTTTTCAGAAAACACAGTACAAAATAGATATATACATATTAATACACAATCTGGGAAGAGAAGCATTTATTGAAGATTATTTTTGTAGTACTAGAGAATGCTTCAGGTCATAGAATTAGTGAAACTATATCTATAATCAGTTGAAAATAATCAATCCAACTGGGTAGGCTTCGGCTTATCTTGGATGAAGATTAAACACGAAGAGGATTTCATGCTGTATTTAGAGTATAAGCTAATATACTTGTTTGACAGTAGGAATTCTAAGTTGCCTATAAAAGGTGTTGGTCCTCCAAATATACATGCAGTGGGAATAATAGCTGCTATAAGTGATTCTGTTAGACACTTAAAAGTTGGCACTCCCACGGCAATTATGACATATGGAAGCCATGCTGAATTCACATTGGTAAAACATTTCCAATTGTTAGATTTCTAGATATGGCAGTACATTTTTCTTTGCCTTTTTTCCCTTTATCTCTGAAGCTAATAATACGAATAGGCCTCTCCTTGTTTTAGGTAGCCTCAAAACATATCCTTCCCGTGGTAAAACCAGATCCAGAAGTTGTTGCCATGCTCAAATCTGAACTAACAACATCCATAGCTCTAGAAAAAGTATTATTTCCCCTCATCTTTGAGATTTTCTTTTCTTATCCTCATTATTTTATTTCCTCTGCGATTTCACTCCCTACTTTGTATATGGACTACATTCTGATCATAAATGTACCACCTCTATAGCTAGCGGAAGAGAATTTGTTAATGTTTGTGAGCTTCATTTTCGAACATATTTTGAACATAGAATTACATTACTAATTGTCCTTTTTCCTTTGCTTCGGGACCCGGATCTACCGGCAAGAGAGTGGACTGGATGAAAAAAAGTAAGGTACAAATGGGTTGCATCTAACCCATTCTCAATTTCTCTGATGTTAACCCCGCTGCATACATAGTGCTCAAAACAGAAACAATGACAAAAGATTATAAAAATAATCTTTTGTCCATCTGCTCCAATATATTGTCCATGTCTTGACCCATTTTGAACGCTAACGATACCAGCAATATAACCAAACTGGAAAAACTAGTTTTATTGAAAGGTAAAAATAAAGATAATTTACGATATGGTAATTTTGAAGAATTTCATACTATGAGTTCTTAGTTGGCTAATGATTGTTGTTTCTAGAACTGAGGTCAAGGATTCAAGACTTGGTACCTCACTCCCGCCTACTCCCCCTAAAAAAAACGTTCTGTGTGGGCGAGTAAGATTTTTGATGTGTCTGTATCCGTATTTCATAGGCGATATTCCTTTTTCTGCTGAAGTATTCTTCAGACTATACCATGATAATATCGTGATTCTTGTTGCTCTTTCTCATACTTGTCACTTGAAACTTTGGACGAATCAAATAATGTGTGACTTCTTACAGATATTAGAGAAGGCAAAGACTTTAGAATTAGAATTCTGGGCTGAAGAGGAAAAGGAGAAGTAACCTGTAGGGGGCTGAGACTGAATTGTTCAATTTAATTAGTATCTATAGTTGTTACCCTGTGATTAGGGACTCTTGGTGAATAATACATTGTCCAGATTTCGGTGATACAATCTTTGGTGTTGAGGTGTTTTCAAGTTGAAGTAATTACTAGGTTCACTAAAGTTTTAAACTGGACAGTCCAGTCTCAATATTTATCTCTCGGTCTTCCAGTTGAAAGGGATACATAAGAAATATACTCAAATCGATTAATTGTGTTTGACTAAACCATACAAGTCATTAATGCTTTTAGATAAGCAAAGTATGCCACTTCTTGAGCGATTTGTGGAATAATATGTTTCTCTTTTCATTGTGTGATGGTCTGACTACTGGAATCTCTTTTGTGGTGGTGTGCTTCGTGATCAACGTGTGAACCCCCCACCCCAACAAGTTCACCTCAGAAGAAAAGTAGAAAAAACGAAATCATGATAGAGTAGCAACATGAAATATCACAGCCCTATTGAGTAATGAATCAGTGGACTCAGCTACACCCAGACCAGTGATGATCACCACTAATGATAGATAGCATTAGAAGGTAGCAAGAAGATATGTCTAAGGTTCTTGTAAAATATGCATTTCTTGATATTCTACACTTGCTAGGCTGTGACTGTGTACCCGTGCCTGTTCATGCAGAAGTAGTTTTTGAGCAAGGCTAATATTTCTTAAGGTTCTTGTAAAATGATATTTGACTCGTGCTAATAGACTCTGTATGTATACGTGTTTGTGCGTGCACGTCTCTTCAGAAGAAGTCAGGGTTCATGACTGCATTTAGTACCTCTTCCTCGTTTACAAGATGGAAAACTACATTTGAACATCTGATCGTTGACTGGAACTGTTCTAATTTTTGTGTCACACGTCATAGTAGGTGAGAGTTGATGATTTTTCGACAAATGACTATCTGTTCTCAAGCTAAGCTAGGTCGGGCCGAGGTTTGACAAAGGCCAAAGAGCAGCTTGGTGAACTTTGTAGCCATCATGGTCGTCGGTTCAGCTTGTCTATACAAGCAAAAGATGTTGCATAACTTGCAACTGTAAATAGGGTTTTGCTTAATTTTGATGCAGGAAAGGCTTAATTTGTGTAGAAGAAGCATACAAGAGTGATATTGATTCGGCTCATTTTTGCAGAAGCTGCTTAATAATGAGCCGAAACCAATATCACGCCATGTATGTCTACTTCTCGCTTCTCAGGGATCACTTGCTTTGAAGAAACCTGCAAAACTCTCCTTATATAGAAAAATGGGTTGGGCTTTTAAGACACGTTTGGGTATTATGAAAGAAAAATAAGTAAAAGTTTCAGCAATTATACTGTTTAGCCTTTTCTAATGGTCCATACGAAATTTATATTCAAGGATCATACATTGAACTACCTTGTTTAAAACTATTTACCTACGACCAAACGGAATTTCATGTGCATAAATGAATAAATAAATTTGAAATAGTCCTTTTTAATTTAATTTAATTTATTGTAGCTTACTTATAAGAAATTAATAGCGACTAAAAAAAGTTCATTATTAAGTAGAATATGGAACAATTTTTCATGATCAAGATAAAAGAATCCAAAACCAAACTTTTTCATTGTCAACTTAGATTAGGTAGCATAATGGAAAATTATATTCAATTATTTGGATATGGCACGTGATTTTGTACGATAAGATGCCAACAATTAGTGGGGATACTATTCTAAATTCAATTTTCAATAATTATGAGATCGATTGTTGCATTTATTAAAAAGTTTAAAGTAATAAATTTTCACATATCATTTTCAAGTTTGACTTACTATTTGTTTTTATTTTTTTAGTTTGTTATATTAATTAAATTAAGGATTATGATCGATTTAACTCAATAAACATATCAAATATCGAATCTTTTTCGTTACACCAAGTTCAGGATGATCAAAAATTATTTTTACCCGAGATTAAAGAATATGGTTAAAAAGTAAGAATATGTTATGGATTTTATGTGCAAAATATTTTATTGTATAAATGTGTGATTGAAAATGAGTATGAGAAATAAAAGTTTGGAAATAATGGTTGTCAAATAGGGGCTAAATACAAAAACATAGAATGTTGGTCATAATCTTTTTCATAAAAGTCAGTATTCTAATGTGGTTGAAAATGAATTTTGAAAGAATATGCGTCAAACATGTGCTTAATCAATTTAAAAATTATTTAATAATTAAAATACCAAACATCTTAAATTATAAAATACTATATTTACTTAATAATTATTACAATTAATCAATTATACAATTTTATAGGGAAAACTTGAAACTAAATCAAATAAACAGCTTCTGAAAAAGGGAAAAAAAAGCTAAGGCTCGACATGGCTTGGACATGCATTAAGCGGTCAACTTGATAGTTGATCGTTTCATTTTGTGCTTACTGTCAAGATGAGGTGTTTTATCCATATCGTCTAGATGCACTTTTAAGAATAAGGATAAAAGTATGCAAAATACAAGATAAGAATAAAGTGAATATGTAGCAAGGCTTGGACACCGAGGGCCAATCCACAATTTTGACATTAGAAGCAAAAATTGACATGCTTGAGTTTCAAAAAAGTATAGAGTAAAGAATCTCCAAGTAAAAAATTTTAATAGAATTGATATCGATGTTAATGTGACCGAACATAATTGATCTATTTTTTTCATCTTCCAATAATGTCACGTCAAGTGCTGTTTGTCAAAAAAATTGCACTTGTAGCATGATCTAAAGAAAATGCTCGAACAATTGACAGATAACCATCAGTTCAGTTGTTTTGCTTAAATTATTTCACATTTCATCTTTTGCGATATTGTGGATGAAAAGGCCGACAAGTTGGAGATATGGCACAATTTGGTGGCCAAATTTTAGGATAAGAACATATTTGCCTCTCTTGGATCAATCATTTTGAATCTTTTTATTTTTAAATTTTCTTTTTCTTTTTAGAATCAAGGCAAGAAAATTATTTGATATCTACATATATTTTTGCATTCCGATTCCGATTCCCAATTCTAATACTATTGTTTAAACCAAACAAAAAGAAGATATTTTTTTTTGGTTCTTGTTTTTATTCTTTTAATATTTTTAATTCATAGTACAGGTATAATTGTCATTTTAAAATTTTTTGACCTTTTAAAAATTCAAAGTAATATATTCCCTTAGGTGGGTGCCCAATCTCACATGATTGTTAGGTTATTTCGCATTGATGGAAAGTCCAGCCCTAATTTTCTCGAATAAGCCGCTATTTGAGTCACATTAAAATTTCTAACTTCATTCTTCTACTCATTTCAATTACACATTTTTCAATAAAATAATATTTTCCATCATATCAATAACTTTTCCTTCTTTTTCAACCATACTTTTCCATCAATCTACTATTCCAAAATACATTATTCCAAAATAATGTAGTTCAAACACACCCTAAATATAATACATTATACATAATTTTTCATTTAAAATTTTAAAAGAATTTTATATTTATTGAAGTTAAAAATGAGCTACTTATTTTAAAAATATTTTATCAACTGCTCACTTTTCTATTCAAACGTTTACACATTCATTACTTATTTCAAATTTATTACCCAGATTAACGAAACGTGTGCGACGGAGAGTTGTTGTGGCAGCTTGACCACGTTAGTTTATCCACTTGGATTAAAAACGCATCAAGTAAATCTTTCTAGAAAAATAAGTGATATGAAGCATCAATTAGCATGGGTGGACCTATTTTGCTAAGAGTAGTGTTATTCATACCCAGTGGGGATGAAAATACGGTTTACGTGATTTTAAATGATATGTTAAATTAAATGTGAAATTAAATGACTTATTTAATTTTACCTATTATTTAATGTCACATTAACGTCACGTAGACTGTGTTTTCATTTTCAGTGGGGATGAATAGCATTATTCTTTCGCTATGGATATTTTGAGGTAAAGTCTAAACTAGGGTGATTTTCTGGTCAAATCTTGAGGGATGAAGCTTGAGGTTTCAAGTTCGAAGAGAAAATAATGATGAGCCTATTACAAATAGTTGAATTTGAAATCAAAATTTTATCGTAACCAAAACTTCAAGCTCAATACACGTGTCGGGATGGAAACAGGATCAAGAAACGCTCCGCTTGTCCGAAACGAGCTACAGTTAAAATTCATACATGGCCAGATTGGCGAGTCCACGTATAAGTGAAAGAAAATATTATTAAATTAAGAATTCTATCTTATCTCAGTTCCTAAAACCAGAAAAAGAATCGGTGTAAAATGGACGGATTGCCGGCAGATCTTTGTCTCAAAATTTTCTGTTGGTTGGATCATCAGAATCTTGCAACTGCTCAATTGGGTCAGTAGTAATTAACTTCGGTCTATTTTTATTTTCCAATTCTGGTCTGGGAATTGTCAATATGAATTCATGTGGATTCGTGATATCTGAATTGGGTTTGTGGAATTGTCGTCAAATTGTTTGATTTTTTGCTTGAACGAATCTTTTGTTTTTATCTTTAATGAGGTTCTTAAGATTTGAAGGTGGAAACTTTTCTTTTATGTGGTTTGATCTTTTGTCATTTGAATCTTAGCAGATCAAACACCTGAATCTTTTCAATCTACATGTATACAATTTTTGAAATTCTGTTGCCTTTGATCGTGAATGATTTGAATTTGAAGAGATTAATGATTTCAAATCCAGCATGCTTTAACTAGTGATTACATGACAATAAAGTTACATTGGGGGTCGTTGAGATTTGAGTTGTTAGACAGCATACTTCTTCAAATTGTTCTTTAAACTCCGAGTAATTCATTGAATATAATCACGATTCTAGGTAATGATATAAATAGCATTAGCTGCTGTATCGACTTGTCCTCTTTCAAATTTTCAATGCACTAATGTATGACAATAAGTCTATTGTGGTTGAAGTGTGCAAGAAATGGAGTGTGTTGGCCTCAGACAATGCGTTATGGTCTAATATCTTCAAAGAAAGATGGGGGGTCGATAATGCCGCATTCTATGCCCCGGTGCATCCAAAGTCGTGGAAAGATGTCTACGTTGTTCAAGACCGATGTGATCGAGTTGGATTGTGAGTTTCAAATTATATGTTTTGAGAATTTCTTTTAGTTTGTGATTAGCTATATGTTATGATTTCCACCAGCCTTTTCACATTTAATGCGTGGAATGTAATTCCCTTGTCTGCAATGAAGAATTGCATAATTTTCGTTTCTAGTTGGGAACAACAGGGATGTGCATTTTTCTACATGGTTTGCATTTATAGTCATGTTACGGGTATATGGTTTGAAGATCTAGCAACGAACTAAACAGAGTAACAAAAAAGGGTTCGTGTATACAATCCCAAATTTTTAATATTAGAAAAAAGTCTTAGTTTGTTGTTGTTTGATTCGCTTTGTATGCTTCTTTATATATTAAAGATGAAAAGAGTATTTGGTGAATGTAGTGATTCTCATTTCTTCACCAGATTAACTTCGTCTATCTGGTGGATATGATGCTTACGACCCTAATCTAGCAGTATTTTATCATACTTTGTTTATTAAAAAATAGTTGTAAGTTTCGAAATTTTCATTTCAGGGGATTAAAGATTGTAAGGGAAGGAGACCATTATTACCTAGTTCATCAAGGTGAAATTCAGCGATATTTGGGTTCAAGAAGATCGGAAACACGAGCATTTGACTCGTTGAATTCCGAAAATGAATACTCAGGAACAAAATCTGAAGGGGAACCCTGTTCAAGTATTTTGGACAGAATCCTCTTTTTCATCGGAGATTTGGAATCAGCTTCTTTAGATGCTAAACGAAGCCGGCTGCAGTAGTTATCTCTCAATCGAAAGCCAAATCTAATGTATTTTTCATTGAACTGTACCAGTTTTATTCAGTAATTTTCAATATTTTTTGCTGTCTCTAATCATTTATGTAATGTAAACTAATATATTCTCATCCTATCAAATTGACTAGTTATTGCAATATAATTTACATAATTTGGAATCAAGTTTTCATTTTGGGCCATCAGAATTGGTACTCTCAAATTTTGGAGAAATCAATGTATTATTTGAGTGAATTTGGAATAATTATAGTGCATACATGTTTATCCAAAACAGTAATTTATAACGGAATGTTGATGTCATGTTTAAACTGGACTACTTTAGACAGAACTATAAAAGAAACAAAAGAGTTAAATTCATGTCTGGTGTCTTGTACAATGTTGTTTAGTACTATGATTACAGAAGTAGAAGTTGCACAAAATTTAAAAAGAAAAAATAGGAGTTTATATATGTCGGGATTGAACCGAAAATATAAAGGATTATCCTACTTGTACATAAAATATAGGGCCTTGCAAATGCTTTACATGAACCCAAGATCTTCAAGAAAAATAAATGAGAAGTATAAAGAAAAACATTGACTACCTAACAGCAAAGGATGCAGATCATCAGATGTTGCTATGATTTCATCTTTTGCATATAATTAGAGGGGGGGGAAAAGAGAGAAAAAACTCTAGCAACATTTTGTATAAGCCAACAAAAACCAACTTCTGTACCCCTCGACTACGTAAATCCTAACAGAAGATTGTGGCAATATATAGATAGATGATCATTAACAGCCTCCAGAAAATCTTACCAGTCGAAACTAATGTTATCAAGGAGCGTTTAAAGGCTCATGCTCCAAATTCTTTTCCTTCAGCATAGTCCAATCTTCTGTCTCTGCAAAAGCAATAAAAAGGAAAATGGCCGAAAAATAATAGTTAAAACTACAGATTACTAACTTCCAAGAAGAATCGAAGATTAAACAATAGGATCGTAGTCCTGACTCTCATGGCATTAAAGTTTTAAGCTCATTTAGCTATAGATAACACTATACTCACTTGGTTTATCTGCAATGGCTAGGAGCCGGCTCTGCAGAATGGATGCAACAAAGAGGAAGATCGAGCACATACCGAACATGACAGTGATGGGGAACGCATTAACCTTCAAACACATAAAATGAACTGTTTAAAATCTAGCAATTAGTACTGTGCATTAATGCAATATTGGAATCCTAAACTTTTGGATTGTCGATGTTCACTTCTAGCAATGGATCAGATTGAATCATAGATAATTGGAAAAAAGTGCAGAATTGTTCGCACTGGTTACAGTTAACCTAAGAGGTCCAGACGAGTCTGAGACAATGGCAAGCAAAAAAGAGAAAATCGAGCAGAAAATAAAAGAATACAGAGAAGTAATGATAATTGGTAATTGCCATGACAATTGAAGCCCCTACAGCCATTCATGCAAACCAAAGATAAATATGTAGCCAATGCCATTTATGTTAAGAAGATTGAATAACGTACATTATATAGCACAATGCAAACAAAGATGTTTAAGGGGATGCGGAAGAAATTCATGATTGTGCTTCGAGCCTCCTCAGGGATGTATTGGGATCTCATCTTCATAATTGATGGCCAGAAAATCCCCACACAAGCCTCAAAAACACAAAAGCCGAGAAGTTGAAGACAACCTGAAAATGAGAGGCCATCACCTTTCACCTTTGAAGGAGATACCAAGAACTGACACGAGTGTCAAGAAATTAGATATATACCAGGAAACAGAGTAAAAAAACTTAAATAAAATAAAAGAAACAGAAGAACTCTGGACATACATTTGTCAACAAGGGAAGCAGAAGAGAGGCAGAAGATATAGCGAATACAATCTGCATGTAGCTCTCCACTGTAGGCGAGTTGCGGGCTAGTAAGCGAGAAGCTATTGAGCTTCCCAACATTGAAGCCAACATGAAAGTTGCAAAAATAAAACCATGGGGAATCTCTTCATCATTTGGACTCAGAGCAGGTGTCCAGAGAAATACAAATGTATACATTGAACCTTCAAATAGGGACTGTATTGCACCCAACAGTGCAATCTTCTCATCTGACCAATATAAACAGTGTGCTGAGTTCCCCGAAAAGGACAAAACGGTGAACAAGAAACAGAAATAGAAGGGAAACAAGTCGTACAACTCAGGGAATAGCAAGTCATATAATTGTCTGAAATAAAGTTTTCTTGTCATTCTAGCCATCTAGGTGATGGATGGGCAGACAATATTAGTTCTATCTGCAATGTCATTGGTTCCTTAAAATTTGTATTCTGCAGAACATTTTATTACATAAGAGATCTAGGAATATACCTGAAGCGATTGCGATAGCTGCACCCTTGAACTGCATCAGTAAGTCCTTGTTATCTGAAGGGTCACCGTAGTTCTCAGTCCATGATGACAATATAATAGCCATGCCAATTGCTAGAATGACGGCAGCAGCATCGAAAGGTGATACTGGCCCAAGGCTTAAGGTATCAACTAGCATATTTCCGAACAACCCAGAGAGAATAGCAATAAGACCATTCCCGAGGAATACTGCCTTTGAGAAAGTTAATGAGAGCCATTGCTGATCAAAACCTCGCTGCAATGACATATTGAACAGAAAATGTGATCAACAATCATCTATTCTAGTAACTTCAATAGTTTATAAATTGTTCAGTAAACTTTGCTAACTATATTCAGATATGCAAGGAAAAAAAAAAAAGAAGAATGCCTTAAAATCATAAAACTGAATACTCATACTTGTAAATTGTAATTACCACAGATAAATAGAATGGATGAAATTTAGATTAGAGTATCATCCTAAGGTTAATGGTTGCAGTCATTTGCATAAAGTAAAGCGCCCTTTTGGTTAAGAGAACAACAGAATGAAAAGAAAACGAAACCATCTTATGCACAACATAAGTATAAAATCTGTGTATAAATGCCAGTGTCGGTGATTCTTAGGTCGTGGAAAAAAATGCAAATTGAGTTATATTTTCAACATGTTATTGTGAAGCTAAATTGTAACAGATGTGGCCAAATAGTTCAAAGCTAGTTATATACAGGAACAATGCCAGTCACATTGCCGGAATAAGTTGTCATCATCAAAGAACCATCACCTTGAAGTGCTCTGCCACTAGCCAAGACTCAAATGCTGAAAACAGGAGAGATGTAGCAATACCACCCAAAATACGTCCTACCATCAGGACTTTGTACTGAGGAGAATGCTTGGTAAAGCAGCTCAGTATATATGTAATGCAGTAAGTTACACATGCCCTCTTCCGTCCCCTGAAATTTCATCATGAAAATCAAATAAGAAATTCCCTCATCACATGCAATTAAATTTACAGAATATCAGGAGACAATCTCACTGTTTGTCAGCTAGAGATCCAACTATGGTTCCAAATAACATGGAAGAACCAAATCCTGCAATAAAGAGCTGTCCAATTTCTCCCTTTCCATAGCCATAAGTACTATATAGGTAGTAAACATATGGACCCTGCAACCAGTCACCAGCTGTTGCATGGAAACAGGTATCAGCAAAAGCAAACAGCATTTGTCAGAAATATTTCTTATAAAACAATTTGCACCTGCCATCGCCAAGAGCCATGTATAGATATAAAAAGAGCAACGTGAAATGGTGCATATGAATTGTATCAGCTTAAAAAGAAAAAAATGAAAAAAGGTGCATATGTATTATATTACTTTACAAGGATCTTCCCCAGATATTATATGTGTTGGGCGAAATATAAAAATTACCAAGCCCCTCGCATTCCCTCCTCGACATAATTAAGAAAATTTAGCTTGCAAAGGTTTGCAATATAACATAAAAATGGAAAGCATGGAATATTTGATTAAAAGAGCAATAACTCAAACAGCTTATTTTATATAATCTTACAAATAAATGTATAGAACAAGAGCATAACAACTGGAAAAAGCTAAAATAACATATGGTGACTGGAAGCTGTCATTCAGTATACCATAACGCACAAGAAATCAACATTCAAGAAGTACATGCTAGTGTTTTCTTATCGACGCTACAAAAGATAATTGGATCTTATAGCAAATTCTATGCCAAATTATTGGCATCAAATAATTGAACTACACATGATACATTAAGTTAGTAAGGCTTCTCCCAATCTATTAACACAATAAAACAATGTTCATAGTTCAATCATTTCCATCTCCTCCACCTTACCTCACAAAAATCAACACAATCCCCAATTGAGATCGAATCCACCAAAAATTAACAAATCGATGCATCAGATCCCACATAGAGCACCAAAATCCCACAATCATTCACACATTCAACAAACCAATTAGATAAACCACAATCCCAATTACTCCAAATCATTTCACGCAAAATGCGCAAACCAATTAAAAACACATTACAAGTTCAAAAAATCCAGATCTGAGTGTTTGCGTTTGTATAAAGAAATTACGTACCCATCATTAGAGAATAAACAAGCAGGTAATTGTTCTTAAATGACTCGAAAGCCGATGAAGTATTAGTCCGATCCTTGTTCGATTTACTCAGCTCCACTATAGCCACTACTGCCGCCAATCCCCCAAACACCATATAGTAAAACAACTCCATTTTGTGGTTTTTATTCAACTCTTCTCAAATTACAATGCAAATAATCCCAACCAAAAAAAAAACCTCAAAAGAGAGAGAATGGAAAATGCAATCTTTATCTCTCCCTCTCTTTTACCTATCTCACAGAGATGGATGGAGATATATACACACATACATATACATACACATGCAGATATTAATGCGGGGGCGTATGATTTGATTTGTAGAGAATTGCATGGTTGGTCCTCAGTTTATTACTCCAGCAGCATCTTGATCACTACCTCTTGCAATTTATGAATGGTTAACAATAGAACAGGGATGAGTAGTGCTATTTTTAATGTTTTTCTGTTTACTTCATTACGACACGTGTCTTTTCCTGGTTTGTCAGATTGGTGTTAGTTGTTGGACTTTTTACCGCGGGTTCCAAATGGAAAGTATCTGTGTGTTTCAGCCGTCGGATTATTTGAACGATCTGTGTGTTTCAGCCGTTGGATTACATTGTGGGCCCAATGTTTGGTTTCGTGTGCCTCATCCTGTCACACGGGTTTGGACATACCATGTGAGTAAGGAGAATTTTGAGGGAAATATTTAAAAAATTGACTTTTATAAATATCTTTTTGACTAATTATGCCTATATTTGGTGGCCATTGATTTAAAAAATTATGTTTTGAATAATATTTTTTCGGAGATCATTTAATTAAAAAAATAAAGAAATTTTTTCAATTTATAAGTAAAATGTTTTATTGTGTGAATATGTAACTAAAAATGAGTATGAGAAATAAATTAAGTGAAATTAATGGTAATCAAACATGGGTTGTATAAAGTAACTAACGTATAAGACGTTTAAATATTATTCTCATTTTTAAACAAACAAAACACATGTTTCTCATGCCAAATTATTTCTATTAATGTGCCTATGTTATTTATTAATATATTACGTCATGTCAAACATAACTTAAAAATATCGAGAATGATTTGTACATAATCATGGAGTATCGTTACATGGAAATTTATTAAAAGCTTGGTTAGTGAACAGTTATTTTATATTTATTTCAGAGGTGAATTCTTATGCTGAGTTTATGAGATGACTTTTAAGATGTATAAGTATCTATCCACTATGTAAGATGTTAAATCTTTTAATTTTCAAGTTCGCTATGTGTCGTGTTAAATTTTGTAGCCTTTATTTGTCGTGTTCAACAATTTCGGGTCGAGTTTGCTTCTATAATGATTCTATACAGCGCTCCATCCCAATCTCAAATGCTATCCGGAGATGTTTTATGACATCTTGTCTTTGAATGTCTCTTGGTTTGAGCTAAGCCATATTGTTAACAAGCATCATGGTGCATGTTACTGATACACGAATTCATCGCAATAAATTAGGACATACTTGTGACGTTCAAACACAGATTTTTGTTCTTCCTTGAATATTAAGAGGAAGCTTTAATCGATGGGATCAAATTCTTTAATCTTTTCACAAGACCAATGTGACGAGCCATCCAAATACGTTAAAAGATTGGTTTGGCTTGTGTAGACTCTACCGTGCTTGGCCATGGAGGCCCGCAGCCAGCCCAGGTCGGTATGAGAGAGAGAGAGTCCATTGGCCTAGCCGAGTAATTTTAGGCACGGCCCAAGTTATGGTGTGATCAGTAATTGATTTTATCCTGCTGACTAAAAAACAAATGGATGGGAATTGGGATCAAAGAAATCCAAATAGGAAGGAATTCATTAAAGCAGCGCCACAAGTTCAGATTGTGAGGAAGCTAAAATATCTTCAGTTTTCTATTTATGGCCCACTAATTTCCTCACTAGACATTCCAAAAATCTTCGGACTTCAGTACAGCAGAACAAAGAAAAAATATTACCTTCATTAGTACTTGTTGAAGAAATTCTTTCACTTTGAAGATCATGGCTGCTCTTTCTTCCTCCTCTTTATATCACAACTTCCGTTCTTCTACTCTTGCTTACTATTCGAATTCGAATCATGAGTCGAGTTCTTGTTTTACTGCGAAAGCCATTCGATATTCCAGCAGAAGAAATGGCTCTAGCATTTGTGGAGGCCTCAGAATTCAAAATGCAGCAACAAAATCTGCAAAGTCACCAGGTACATGTTATTTCTATCTTCTCATTGAAATTTACATTAATATTACTCGATATTAGTACTCTGGTCATGTTCTTAGTGTTTCTCTCCTTTTCGAGTAATCAGCTGAAGAAGAATGGAAGATCAAACGGCAGTTTCTACTTGAGAAAAGGGTAAAAGAGTCCTATCTCTCATATGAACCATACACCTCAGGCTTCATTTGAAAACGATAAAACAGCAAAAGAAATTCTTTTTTCAAAAGAATAACGAAAAACAGAGGAGATTAGAAATGAAGATGTGAAATACTTCCTTCTGCCTATTTAGACTTCACTTAAGATAATTGACAAGTCGAACTTCTGCAGGTAAGGAGTGTGGATGCCAAGGAAGCATTGCGGCTTCAGAAAGAAAATAACTTTGTGATTCTTGATGTACGGCCTGAGGCAGAGTTCAAAGAGGTAACTGAAATCACAACAAAGAACTGAAGCATGCCCTTAACACTGCTGCATTCAGGCAGTGCTCATTTTGTGATTATTTGATGATGTAGGCTCATCCACCGGGTGCTATTAACGTGCAAATATATAGGCTTATAAAAGAGTGGACAGCTTGGGACATAGCTAGGAGAGCTGCATTCGCCTTTTTTGGCATCTTTTCTGGAACAGAAGAGAATCCTGAGTTTATCCAAAGTGGGATATGTACATATGATATTATACTTTGGTTATCTGTCCTGCTTATACTAAAACTTTTTGTAATCAAAGAATTCTTTGGCTTGTGCAAGCAGGTGTGGAGTCAAAAATTGATAAGAGTGCGAAGATAATTGTTGCCTGCACGGCGGGGGGAACTATGAAGCCATCACAAAATCTTCCAGAAGGCCAACAGTCAAGGTTCTTTTCTGCTTTTCTTTTCGCATGCTACTTATAATTCATGGCCATAAGCAGTAGAAAATGTAAAGCACTGACACAAGAAAGTAACCATGACGAATTGTAAAGCCAGGTGTTATAAAACAACTAGATCCTTAACAACTAGAATAGATCATGTTAGTGTCAGAAAGGTTGGTTCAAATTTTGTTATATAACTATCTGCAGTGCAAAGGGAGCTTATGATGGAATCATGTAGTAAATGAAAGAAATAAGTAGAAATGCTTAATCACTAAAACTTTGTGCAGGTCACTCATAGCAGCTTACTTGCTGGTTCTCAATGGTTATACTAATGTCTATCACTTAGAAGGAGGGCTGTATAACTGGAATAAAGAAGACCTGCCATCAGAATCTGAAGAATGAAGTCCACCAGAAAACGTGCGAACCAGATAACAAAGTGATTCGTCGTAATGGACAACATGGCTAGTCTTGAATGAAAATATTAATGTAGAAATGAGTTTCGGGAATCATTAAGAGCCTATAATTTTCGACACTCCAGAGGCTTTTCTTATGCATATATATGAATGTTTTTTTCAGCAGTAGAGCATGACACAGGGATTGCATGAGATCCAGAATCATACTGGACTAGGATTAATCAAATAGTATTAGACTTTTTGACCACGTACAAAGCTGATCATGTTTAGTTGTTTGTGTTAATAAAATGTGTCGCTTTGCTTAACAATTTAAGCTTTTCAACGAGGGTTGAACACAGAAGTAAAGAAGTCGAAAGTCGTGAATTCAAGTCTTGCTTCTCATTTATGAAAAGTGTGTAGATGCTATTGAGGACTAATCCCTTGTTCGGGTTCCATGAAATGGAGTCGAAATAAATTCGAGGAAAAATGAATTTTAAAAAGTGGAGGCCAAACAAGGCTAAATAAGTAAGGAAATAACATAAAGTGCATCATACAATAGTGACATGATCCTTTGTGCATGTTTGATAAAATAAATTGGACGGTATTTAAATAACAGCAATGAAGAAAATGCTCGTTCAATGCTGCATTCCAGACATACCATCAATGTACATCACGGATCCACATTCAATAGCTCACTAAAGTGAAGGAAAATGCGAATGCAGCAAGCATATTATTCAATAAGTATCAACAAAATCCTACTGGGAATTGTATTCTAGAAAGTAGACAGGACACAAGTATAAGCACACGATGCAGGATACCTATAAAACAAATTGTGTTAAGGCAATCACTAATGTCTCATAATCCATCTCATTCTAAATCCGCTGAGAAACAACCAATGTTGCACTGGAACAGAAATGGAAAAGGGAAATGCGACAACATGTGTTGAAAGTTTCTTTTGAGTTCCTGAAACATTTCATACAGTTTCCGAAGAGTTACAGTTTCTGAAATGGTATGCAAGCTTTTCAGAAGAGTTCCCGTGCAACCCTGAAGTTTCGCTGCTCAACATAGCATCTAGAGGTACTGAATCGTCAATATTCAGTAGTTAAATCAGGAAGTTTCTTGAAGCCGGTACATTGTGATTTCCTGCTGCTTGAAATATCGACGGTCCTCTTCATCAACAAGAACAAGGTTTAAATAGTACTTCACGCTAAATTTGTTGTTGATGTTCCGATATGTTGGTGTCAGTTCATATGGGCTCAGAAACAGTCTGATTGGAATTGATTCACCTGTGATGCCAATGAGCATTAAAATTTCATATATGTTCACAATGCATCTACAGGAAGTTTACAAATCTGCATATTGACAAAGTGGATAGTTCTTAGCAAACCTCTGACTGGAGCACCATCCATCAGCTCAAACTTTGCAAGTGTCTCTGTCTCGATATGGGTGTTCGCACCAGAACCAGTTGATTCACGACGTCTGATTTCAAGATCCATATTCTTCAACTTGATTCTTACAAGTAGAAAATATATTTTGCCTACAATAACATCTTTGAGATGATACCTGGATATTAGATCAATCAGCATGGCCAATAACAAATTTCCGTCTAGTGAAAAGTAACTAGCTACAGAAAAACTAGTACTATTTGATTAAAACATGGCACTCACAGATAGGTAGAGGAAAATTTAATTGGATTGATCAGGAAAAAACAGAAGTTCCGCTTGTGCAAATATGACATTTGAACCACGAAAGAACCCGTCCGTCTATTTATAGAGAGGCCAAGAAACTTACTCCCTCAGCTCAAAATATTATTTCACAGCATATTGTAAATATAGGAGTTATTGTTTACACATTCTTAGAAGGTGCTATTGTTTTGCCAGGGAAAAAAAATTGGTAAAATTCTTACCAAAATTATATTTTTGCAAGACCGCTCTATTACCACGGCTTATTTCCAACTTTTTCAAATAAAAAATCAGTATTTCCTCATGAATTGGAGAATTCAACGTTCCTTTGTCCTGTGCATTTGTCTTTAAAGATTTCTTCTATACAATAGCAAGTACTAAGATAAGAAAATAAAATTTACTACTACTTGCACGGCTCCTAGACAGAGGTTTTGGTTGGTTAAACATGGGAGCTGGTGTGAACTAACCCAGCAAAGTAGCTCAGAAGTAGACACCCAAAAATGAGCAGCGTAATTGAACTTACAACTCAAAATTTCAAATGTGCACTAGTCTCAAACTATTCACACATAATTGAGAGAGAGAGAGAGAGAGAGAAATCACTTACTTGCCCTTGTTATACTCAAACTCAATGTGAAGACAGTCTTCAATTCCAACTTCCATCTGCATGTTAAATAATAGAATGTTACAGAAGCAAGCTCTATTCAGCTGCACAATGCTTGGAAATTAAACGGGAATTATGGAGCGCAAGTATTTTGATGATATTAGTCATTAGAATCCTGTCTGTTTCAAACATCTTCCTCTTCACACATTTCAAGCACAATATTAACAATTAGATTGCACGTTCATCCAATGCAAAAATCATTTAAGAGCATAGTACCTTAATACTATTGTTGATTGGTGAAGGAGGGGTATAGTTCTGAACCTGATCCATAGAAACAAAATAAGTAAATCAATACGACTCCATACTGCCTCCTACAAGACATAAAAGAACTTTAAATACCACAAAACAATTTAAAATGGAAACTAGAATGAATGAATAAAGTAAAGGGATTGAAATGAGAAAATGAAGACAGAATATTTTGTTCCTTTTACGATGGTCTCTTTCTCAAAGCATAAAATTGTCCAAAAAAATAGAAGAATAATACAGCAAAAAAGCAACTAATATCCATGATACCACAAGTCTACAGCAATTGTTCGACTTCTGATGCGGTGTGCAAAAATATAAAGTATATTAAATCCTAGAATTGTTTAATGAGACGTAGATCTGTTTCATTAATGAGACACCGAGTGTCAAAAAAAATTTGTTTCCTTATTCCTGCAGGTCCCAATTACCTGTTTTGCTAGACTAAATAGTCTTAAGTCTTAACTTATAATGATTTCATATGACCAACCGCCTCCAAAACTACTTGTCTAATTATACGTTCAAGAGATGAGTGGAATGAAATCCGGAATCAGAAGAGATGTATGGTGATAGTATATGCGTGTTTTCTAGATTGTGAATTGAGGTAAACATGTATTACCACAAAGTCTTGGTATTCCACTATGCTACCAGCATAGCCTCGACTTATAGTCACTTTGAGGACATACCTGAAACAAGCACAAAAGTCCTTCAGGTCAAGAAATGATATCATACACCCCATTTTTGCTCCCACTAGAAAGATAAGACATCAAATAAGACTTGCAAACAAAGATAATTGGAAAGAATAAAATAAGGAAACGTTATATTTTGCATACAAATACAAGTCAATGTATTCGACCGGGAATGAATTCTTGATGATAGTTAACTTAATGAATTCATGACTGCGATTGCACAAATACAAGAGAACCATAAGAGTCTAAAAAGTGCTTCTGTAACAGTCACATCAACTTAAACAAAAGCCTAAGAAGTTAGAAACAAGGCATGACAAATCAACCTCGTATTCTTTACGTTTATATTTCTACGAAGTATATGGAACAAGAGTTTTTTTCTTTTTTCTTTTCCTTTGTTACTAAGAGCTCTCAGGCTTCACCATCATACACCATGATAGGAACTAAACATCAGTTAGAAGCTAAATTTCAGAAAAATGACAGCAAGCTGTGTGAGTTATACTAATCCAGTGACTTCCAAGTGTATATATTTTGAGCATCCCACACAAGTAAGTAGAACAGTTAAAAGATATAATTAGACATCTACAAACAAAATTCCCAATAGCCATATATGGTCAGCCACCAAAAAAAAAAAAACACCTATTAAAGCAAACTCCCCACCCAAGGCGATGCTTTCTTCTTCCCCAAAAGACAAAAAGGGAATAAGAGTCAGGGAAAACTATTATGCAAGCTATGGACAATAAAAGCCAAAAGTGCTAGACTGCTAGCATGTGGACTAATTCAATTGCAAAGTTCAAGATATTTGAGAAACTAACCTAAGTCGCACATTTGCTCCGCTATATGTTTCATATGGCATCTCCACAATTGAAAATTCAAATGGATATGTTTTTCTTTCATATATTTCACCAGGAACATCCAGTTCTCGAACTGAAGGGAAGAAAATGAACATATCAGGTTAGAAAAAGAACAAATCCCTGCCCACAAGCATACTGAAATGAAGATATAAAGGCATGGTGTTTCAAAACTTCATTGTTTGAAGTTAGTGAAGAAAATCAATATCGATAGGTGTAGCAACGGACGTCTGAAATTTAGATTCCTTGAGACCTACAACGAAAAAGTTATGTACTCACCAAGAGATGTGAAGTCATAGAAGTTACCTCTGTCAAAATACATTTCTGCGAGGGGAAACAGTTCCCATATGTGATTAGTCAGAAGTATAGTGACAACCATAGACAAAATGCACAAAAAAAACAACAGGCTTTTATTGATGTTGCAAATCATTAGAACAGGAATCTAGAAAAAAAAATGGAGATTCTATAAATTCAGAGATCATAGGCAGAAATCCAGGCTGAAAAATTATCATGCCAGGACCTTACCAGTTTTACCAGACTTTAGATATATGTACTACTAAATGAGTTCTAACCACATAACTCACTACTCATAACAAAATGGGGCAGTATAACTTAACCCACTTTTGCAACCTTTAGATTGTGGTAAAAAGGGACAGACGCACCTATCTGACCAAGGAGCTCAACCTTGATTCCATTGTGTTCAACCTTCTTTCCGGCAATTGGCTCAACAGAAATCTGCAAAGATGCAGAATAAATATGCACCGACCTGATGGTAATTATCAATTTTGAACGCGGAAGTCAATTTTAGACATAACAATCATAAATACTTCCAAAGAAATGCACCTTGCCAGCAATTGTTTCTTGACTTTGGAAGAGAGGTACCATTACTG